AAAATACTACTACTACTACTACTACTACTACTACAACAATAAGGACTAAGAATCTATAGTGTTTGAATGCGTTTGATTTTAGTTTGTATAGCCTCAAGGCATAGGCATGGCTATAGTGAGAAGGGAGACCATGGCAGGAGCCAAGGGAAGGCACTAAGTATTCGATTATGGGGCTAGCACAGGAGACCAGAGAATGAGAGACTTGACAATGGGTGTAGGGGGCAGTACAGAAGACTCCAGGGAGAGAGACTGATTAGTCAGAGGACAGAGGCTGCATGCCCCAGAAAAGAGAAGCGATTTGAGGGTGCTAAAGGGAGAAGTGAGCTCTGGGTAGAGGTTAGCGTGGCCCCTCCACTCCTACCCCACAGCCCTTAACTACTCTCTTAACCTGTCCTGCCTGGATCATCTCCAGTTCCCACTGCCAGGCCCCTCTGCATGGAAATAAACTCTGAAATCCATAAATTAGTTTTTGAAATTGGGTGCCACTCAATTCACAAAAGTTATAGAGGGGTGCTTTGGTGTCTGAGTCCAAAATGGTTGAGAAGCACTGCCCATAGTTTCATAGTTTCTAGGGTCAGAAGGGACCTGAACAGATCATCAAGTCTGACACCCTGGCCTTGGCAGGAACAAGTGTTGGGATAATACTACCACAGCCAGGTATCTATCCAACCTTCTCTTGAAAACCCCCAAGTTAGGGGAGAGCACCACCTCCATTTGCAGCACCTCTGCACAAAATCAATATGTCCGACAAAAGTTGCATAATCCAGGATCCCTCACCTAGTCAGACTTCCAAATCCACAATGGATTCTTGTACCATAAGAATAAGGAATACACTGCTCCTGGGTGCAGCATCTACCTGTTGCACTAGGTTGAAAATGCCCAGCTGTGGCTAGGTCTAAATTTCCATGGCACGGTGGATACTAATAATGGGGCGTGTGGTTTGGGGCCTTAGTTTTCAGAAATGGCTACAGGAAAGGCAGAGATCAGAATTTCCTTGAGGCACATAAAGCGTATTGTTGGAGCGCCCAATAAATTTTGGCCACCCAACAACGCTTTAAGGGGAAAATGTTTTCCCTGGAATTCAATGATGAAGTGGACAATGTCCGCTTCCTTGGCTTCATTTATTCCTTCGACCCATATCCGCTGATTCGTTTTTTGATGGGGAATTGTGGGTTTTATGACATTGTCTTGTGCCCCCGTATCTAACAAAAACTCAACCGGTTTGCCCTTTACTTGAACGGTAATAAACGGTCTGGGGTCCCTTTTTGGTGAGTGGCCGCCGGAACGGCGGGTGCTACTTGTTTTTTTTATCTTATTTACCTGTGCTTTGGTGTCCAGGTTTCCATGGAACCCTTTTGCCTGAGCCAGGATGAGTTGTTCTTCTGGCGTTAGTTTTCTAGCCTCCTCCTTTGTGAGACCCCCTTTGTTTATCAGGAACCTGAACACTCGGCGTTCAAATGGGGTTCTTTTGGGTTATGGAGCTGTGGGGCGTGGGGGTCACTCTGTGACAGCTGCAATGGCTGCCCGTTCCGCACCAAACCGTTTTGGGATGTTTTCAGCGATGTTTAGGAGATCTCGCACCGGCTGGCCTTCGATGGTGTGGAGCCAAAGGGTTAATCCGGGTTCATTTGCACCAGTGGCCTGGACGGCCCCAGTAATTGCTAAGGATTGTAAGGGGATGTCAGTGGGGTCGTTGACAAACCGCTGTGGATACGCCCCAATAACCTGAGCTGGGGTCAAATTGAGCGGGGTTCGTCAGGGGTTCTATACTGAAATTGAAAGACCCGTGGCAGCATAAATTAAGTTCTCACGAGTCTTTACTGATCCTGGTGGACAGTGATAACCACTTAAGCCAGTGCCAGTGAGTTGAACTATTAAGGCGGACAAGGATATGGGCCAATGAGTGTTCTGTGATATGTGCTCCACACTGCCGGCGTTTGGTGCCAGCGAGTGTTTCGGGACAGATAGGTGGTCTCCTCCTGATCAACTAATTCTGTCCCGTGATCAATGACTATCTGTCCTAACCAGACCATGGCGGCCTCCCCGGGCCGCCGTTGTGTGGTTTTGAGGAGGTCCTTTAACTCGGTCATTGAACGCGTTCTCTGGACCGTTTGTGCTGTGGTTCGGTCTTGATTGTCCGTCATATACTTGGTGACAGTGATGGGCAATACGGGGGTGGGGTCTCTAACCTCTGGGTATAAATTGGGCTTTTCTATGGTGCTCGGGGAACTAAGAGGGCTAGTCTCGGCTGAAGGTGGTGCCGAAGGGGGCAGGTACGGGGGCGCTGTTCAGCATCTTTGTCACTGGTGGGTTTGGGAATGGCCCTTAGGGCAGGCTCTAGAGAGGACTGTTGGTTTTCTATTATCTTGAGGGCTGTGAGAAACTGTCCGGACAGGGGAGTTAATAACCATCAGGGCTCATACCTATCGCTGAGCTTCCTGGGGGTGTGGGATTCATGGAGTGCCCTGAGGGTCCCAGCCCCCTTTCATGAGAGCCAGGGGCTGCCATTGGGGGTCTGTAGTACTGCCTGACTTTTTAACAAGCCCATAAAATTGCTTTAGGGCATGGGTGGGGTCATGGTCGGGGTCAAGTGGTTTCTTTATCCCTTTTAACCTAACAGCTCAGTTCTCATTTTTGGGTTCAAAGATGGCCATAGGTGAGTGGTGCAGGACGCATGCCCAGTCACCTCTGGACGTTAAAACTTCCCACTTCTTATGCCCTTGAGTCAAAGATACATAATCCTCAATTTGGGGATCACCTGAGTCACCTGCGACTTGGTGGTAATTACAATGGTGATACAAGTCATTGTCGGTGTCGACTGACCGATCCTGCCATGGACACGGGCATCTTGTTCGTGATGCCATGTCGCACTAGGTTGAAAATCCCCAGCTGGGTCTAGGGTCTTGGCTAGCTGCACCAAGGTCGTTCACAATCTTGAAAGCAAGGGGCCTTGACCTGAACCCCGTGACTCAACGGATGCAATTTCCCGTTTAGCTGTTTGTAGTTATTTTGATTATGTTATGATTGTTAAATGACCTTTTAAGGAATATGAGCCGTTGACCAGGTCTAAGGCTAGGGCCCTGGCCAGCCGCACCAAAACCACTCGTGGTTTTGAAAGGAAGGGGCTTTGACCCAAACCTCATGACCCAACGGACATCTCTCCCCAGCTTTGTTTGATTATTGTGTGTTGCCATAGATTAGTATTATATAGGAAATCATTTGCTTGAGTTATGCAATATTTATTTGGCTTTAACCTATAAAATATTGACATTAATCATAAACTGTGTCCTCATTGGTGTCCAGCCCACCGACCTAGCCACAGCTGGGCATTTTCAACCTAGTGCGACACTACCTGTATGCCTGGGACAGCTGCCAGGGTGAGGCAGGCCCAGGCTGGCAGCAGGCTCGCAGGGTCAGCCCCAGGCTCCAGGTGGTGGCATCATGTGGCAGAGGGGCTGGCTGGAGTACAAGAGTGTTGAAAGTGCAGAGTTGTGTGGCTAAGCAGCAGCCAGGAGTCTGGCTCCTGCTCAATCACAGTCTACACATGTGTTTCAGTGCAATAAATTTTCTCACTATAAGATAATACTGTCCCCAACAGTACTAGCTTACAACAGAATTTGTTTACTGCACCCTAATACCAGCACATGTAAATGGTGACACTTTACTGCGGAGCTAATTAGTCAACTCTACAGTAAAGCATACATGTAGATGCAGCCACTGACTCCTTGGTTATTCCCCAGAGGCTCAAGCACTTGTTTAACCCCATGCTCCTCGAGACTGTTTAGGCCCCAATCCTGACAATACCTGAGACTTTTCCCTTCAATATGACAGTCATGCTGAGGTGATTAAGAAATCCTATGATATTAATGCCAGTAGGCAGCTGCTGGCAGGGTGATCTCAGTGAGAGCTTCAGTTTGATGCTCATTATTCTCAAGTTTGGAATGCCCTCAATTTAGCAGGAAATCAAAAGTCTACTCAATTTGAAATCTGAAATACTGGTTTGTTTATCATTTGAAAGCTTCCAGCTGCTCTCAAGAGGCAAGGTAGGATTAGATGTAGGCGTAAGCTGTGCAACTTTTAAATAATAGCAGAGCACATAGGCCCCAATTCTACAAACTCCCTCTTCATCAAAAGCCAAATTCAGCCCAGGTATTTAAAACAAAACAAAACAAAAAAACCCCACCACCATACATAGTTTCCAAGCTAAACAGAAACATAACATTTACATTTCATCCTCCCATCATCCAAGATTGGTCATTGCTGCCCACTCCCTATTTGTTAGGAAGGCTCTGGAGATTTCAAGCACTGGCAGAAATGGGAGTATGTAATCTTGTTTGGCTCAAGAAAACTCAATAACTTAGAAATTAGTTATTTTATTTAAAAAAGCATTGTGCTTACAGCTTTGCTATTTCAACATTTTAGTTCCTCAGTCGAGAAGTTTTGAAAGTTTAAAAAAAATTGCAATTAAACATAGTAAAGCTGGAGTGACAGGGGGTCCAGAAACAGTCCATGGCAGGTATAAATGTAACATTCTGAAACGCATGCTTTTTACAAGGTGCCTAATATATCTTCAGTGTACAGTTCAGAGAAGATTTGAACAGGGTGACCTCTCTCAGTTATTTATAAATTCAAGCAGTCCACAGCAGGACTGTTGAAGAGAAAGGCATTCAGTGTTTAATGACAAATGATTGCTTCTTGAGTTGTGTAGTTATATATGAGCAAAAAATAAACCAAATCACTATTTATTATGGGAAGATGCATCTTAGCACCTCTAGAACTGTTTGATACCATGTTAAGTCCACTTGGTCTCAGCATTAGGTTAGCCACAAATATAAGAGCTAGTCCAACAACATTCCTGGCTATGTTTCACTGCCCAACAGATGAGCTCTTTCTTCATTTGTATCAGGAGGATTTTGCAGGTTAGACCTGTTTATTGGGCAGGGATGGAGAGAAGGAAGGAGAGAAAAACAGAAGCATGTTAAAATTGTTCCTCTAAAAAGTAAATTGAAAACCTACATACACCATAAAATTTGGTCTGTGCCACAAGAAATATTTGAAATTATTTCACAACTAGGCTGTCTTTGAAAAAAGAGCACAACTGAAATCCTGATTTTTCTTAATGGGACAAAATAAAACCTGATTTGAAAAAAGGAAGTCAAGAATAAGAGTTTCACAGTACCTCTTCCTTTGTGAAGCCTCAAGAACATAGAATATTCCAATTCCTAGTCCCTTTAAGAAAACAGCCATCAATTATTAAAACTTTAATTAATGTAATATTTTTCTACAATCACAGCAGAGAAAACCAGCAAGAATACTTGATCACTTACACTCAGTAGTGACCATCCTCCCTGTATGGTTGCAGCCCATTCAAAACCCAGCCTGTCATTGAGGAATCCACCAAGTGTTGGTCCTACAAAAGACCTGAACATATCGAAAGGAACAAAAATATGAATACTTCATAAAAAGTAATATTAAAAGCACTACAGTTATTCTTCATCAATAGCTAAAACAAGATTATCAGGTATCTAGCTTGTTTACTGCTGAGACATCCCCTGGCAGAATCAGAAGTGATGCATCAGCACAAAAGGTGTTCAAATAGAGGTTCTTCCCTTAGAAACTCAACACCTAAACAGAGATGATGTCATGTTTCATTGAGAGAGTTACTGTACATAAGGGTTTACCTTTCAGTTGGATCTTCTGGATTTCTGCATCCACAGAGTCCCACCAATTTAACTGGCACTCTAGAAGCTGTCAGGACCTGCACTAAGACCTCAGTACAGGAGTTGGTTCTTAGGTTTATGTCAGTCACCATCTTAGAATCTACTCCAATCTGACTTCCATCCATAATGGTCTACTAAAGTTACCCTTGCTGATATCCCCAGTACCTCATCCCCTTGACAAGACAGCTTTCTTTGATGGTAGGTCAAGCTTTTCTAGAAATCATGCTTCCCTTGCCTTATGAAAACCTACCCTTTCTTGGTTCACCCCTAATCATTCCTTCAACATTTCTTTCGAAAGAGCCTCCTCATCCCTAACCCTACAGTTTTGTGAAGTTTGCATACAACTCTGCTCTCAGTCCCTATTCTTTAATTCCAGTAATTTGTCTAGAAACCCAAATTCAGCCACCATTTACCCCTTTACACCATACCGAACTCCTTCTGCCTCAACTTAAATCTCAACCAATATCTCTGATGTCTCTCTCCTTTGATGGTTAACTATCAAAATCGAGCTTCCTCCTCCCTTCCTCCTTTTTTAAACACACACCACCAAGGACAACCACAGCATCCTGGCCATCACTTAGTACTCATAACTTGGGCATCAACTTTGATTCTGACCTCATCCCTTGTCATCACAGGACATACTACAAAAATCTTGTAGAGATTTTTTGAACACCTGTAAGATATAGCCTTTCCTGTCTAGACAACTCTTGTCCAGACTCTCATTATCTCAGTTACTACAACATATTTTTCCTGTGGTCTTCACAAATAGTCTTTCCCTGCTCAAAGACATTTAGAAAGCTGCCACAAAAGCCACTTTCCTAGCCTAACATCTACCCTATTACCATTTTCTTTGTATCCCTTCACTGGCTTCCTCATTCCCTTTGCAAATAAGGAACACCCTTCATGCTTATCCATTATTATTTGGTTGGCACCATAAGTCAATTCCTGCCTCTGATCAGCCCATACCAGCACCTATTTATTAGACTTTTTCATACAGCAAAGGAGCTTTCCCCATGGTGGCCCCACAAACATTCAAACTACACCTAACGCTTCATTATTATCCTTCAAGTGCCTCAACTGTTTTATCCCCATGACACACACCTCTGGACAACAGTTAGTCTACTGGTATGTTGCAACCACTGCCTACCATACAAATATTGTCTCAGTTTCTTTGTACTTCCCTGTCTGTCTATATTCATCTGCTACATCTTGTACCTTGATGATAAGCTCTTGGAGACAGGTATTACATTTTTGTTCTGCATTAGAACAACACTGTGCAAACCAGAATGCTAACACATAGGCAGAGCTCCTAATACACTGAGGTATTACAAATAGCGTCCTACTGCATGAGAACAAGAAATGAATACGAGTGAGAGAGAGAGAGAGAATTCAGTGTTATTTCACTGTTAAAGCTTGGAGAGGCATAAAACATCCTGCTTGTATTAAATTGAGGCCTAGGGGCTCCAGTCAAGGTGCTGACAGACTGTACCACAGAAACAAGATAGATCAGGTGGAAAGAGAAAGAGTCTGGGGTGGGAAGGAGGGTGATGGCACTGAGTGATACTTATGATAAGTATTGCCAGCAGGTATGCTACATATGGCACAATGCCAACAGTAAATCCAGGAATTAGAAAATATTTGCAAAAGGGTTATGAGATTGCTTTTAGCTTATGAAATAAACTATATGGACATGTCTGTCCGTAACTGCTATGGACTGCATTTCGTGGCCCAAAAGGTCTCAAGTCCTCTCTCCAATATATGTCACCTAAAGATGCAGTACAATAGCAAAGGTAATGCCAATAAAAAGTGGCTGCTGCCAGCAGACATGTGATTGCAATTGTGACTGCAGTGGTGACCAGAAGTCGCCACAGGCCCTTGCACTGGACACTTGGCCATGTCCCTATGCTACTATAGATGTGCATCTAGAAACAGTAGTGGTTTGCTCAGGGGCAATGCTGTACTTCGTTTATTATGACCCACGCTGGCCAGAACAGTCAGCATCCCAGTCACTATGGGAGAAGTGTTTGCACTTATGTCCTTAAATCCTGTGAGGTGCCATTGCTGATGAATGAGGTAGGCTAAAACTCTGGAAACTGCTGCCCAAACCTAGTATTAACAACAAGACAAATGCATGCAGGTTGGGCATGGCCCTGACAATGTTAATCTCATTTTCCTCCAGCTCTCCAGCTTTTACTTACTCAGTGGTTGCATCCCAGTGAGGAACTCTGTACTTGGGCTTCCCAGGCTGCCCAAAATATACCTATTAAATAGCATTTAAAGATAACCCTCCAATAATGAGATCCTATGGACATGTCTACACATTTATGTGTGCCTAAATTTAATGCACCTTTGCTTAAGGTGCATGAAGGCAATATAGGCACACGTCTACATGTGGACCCACGATTGTGCATTAAGGCATATTAAATTTAGGCACAAATAGCTACGTCGCATTAGTGCATGTCCAGATGCACTAATGCACATTTCATGGTGTGTATCCATTGACATACACACCGTTACTGCACATTACCACATCTACATGCACTCTAATGAGACTTAGCTATTCATGCCTAAATTTGATACCTGCTTGATGCAGGTATCAAATTCAGGCTCACATAGCCTTAAATTGCCATTTTTAAGGTGCATTAAGGGCATGCGTGTGTAGACACACGCCCTTAATGTGCCTTAAAAATGGTGGTTTTAGACTAAGCCTGCTTAAAAGAGATATGCGTAGGCGTGCCCAATATATGGAAAATAATAAGGAACTCTGACTTTTTCATGCACAAAATCTAATTTTAGGGAGGGTGTCTTAAAACTTAAAAGTCATCTTGGATTTGGGTAAATATGGTATTCAGAATCCCCTTGACTAAGAAATGACTCAAGACAGACCATGACTACTGGCAGCACTTTGGTAACAAGACTTTGAACCAAAGACACCAAAGTGTCAGAGGGAAAGATTTAAATGTTTTTCTTTAGTTGTCATTTAAAGGCCAGCAATAGTATTATAAGATGGAAAAAGCATAACACTACACGTATATAGAGAGTAACTACATACCTACCCAAGTGACCACATTGCACTGAAGAGCCCCGATACCAGTCCTAACAAACTTAACCCTTCTTCAAATCCATTCTCACTGCAGAAAGATAGACATGGGTTATTTGCAGGAAGTACAATCAATTGCCTTTTAAACGCTGAATTGTATAGGTGTATTATTCCAATAGGAAAATACAAGGGTACCCATTACAGCAGACAGAAGCCCCTTCACATCCTGGAGCTATGCCTATAAGGCCCCTTGCACCATCTCCCAGAAGAAGAAAGGTAAGGCAACGCTACCTCTAGGGCTTCAGAAGTGATATTCTCAGCAACAGTGTTGCCTCCTTTGACTGTATGATATTTGATTACCTATGTCATATCTAGCCTTGTGATGAGGCACATAGGAGGGCAGAAACATATGGGCTGGCATGAAATGGACCTTAAAAATGAGGGGGGGCCCTTTGTGCCACTTTGTCTGGATACTGAACCAGGGGGATCTCAGTCTACTATGATACTGGCATGTGAGACTGTACTATATGCAATCGTGATTCCTGTTGGTAGAATTATTGGTGCACTGTTACATAGAGAGCCAATGGTATTTGTTGGCCATTATCCTTCTTATGGATCTGAACTAGTCACACAAGTACTGTGCCTTGCTATGAGAGTCAGATGGAACCCAGTGATGTTACCAAATTCCTTTAAAAATGGGTTATATTTTTACAACTGCTGTTTTGATTCAGGGCCTCCCCTGGCATTCAAGTAATTTATTTCAAAACACCACACAAACACATTGACGGTGTGACTTGTGTACTTCTGAAAGTGTTACCAAATAAGGCAGCTGGTAACCATTCCCTTTGAGAAGTGTTAAATTTGCAGAGCTTCCCCATAACAGTAACAGTGAAATGTGTGAGAGATGGGAACACTTACTATGCACAGCTGATTACTTCAGGGAATAGTGGGATACCAGTCATCCCAAGCGAAAAGCCAATCAAAACCAGCATAAGAACAAACATCCAGAGTTGACTGTCAAATAAGCATTTAAAAGTGATTTAGTACATTAAAACTGTTTACTTTTCCCACTCCCCCAGATAAAAATCCTAGTTCAATTATTTAGGACTCCCGAAATAGTCGTCCATTATTATTTCCTGACAAAGCCATCTGCATGTTACTTGTCAGTTATCAGGCCCACATTTTATATGAGATTCTCTCTTAAGAATGTTGCTCAACACTGAAATGAACTTCATAAAAGGAATATTGTTAACAAATACAGAATTTTTAAAAATCAAAATAAACTCTGTTTAAAAAAAAATGGTTTTCCCAACTTCTTCCCTTGCAAATTCTTCCAGGGCTGTAAGTCAAACTGTGGTGTTTGCTTGATTGTTCCAATAGTAAAGATTATGCTGTCCAAAGGCTGCAACCATA